GGGGCACTTTGGGAGTCTCCTTTTAGTCAAAAGCAGGAAAGTTACAAGAAAGAGTTTAAAATTCAATATTTCCTTTAATAGTGTTAAACACTAAAATTTTAAAAAAGACAAAAAAAGAAAAAATTTTGTAATATGTGTGAACAGAAGCAAAAGACACTACGCTCTGTCATTTTATCTTTCTTTTGTTGAAAGACTAAAAACTGAAATGTTTTTTAGACAATCAAATGTTAGGTAAGTGCAAAAACTTGTTTTTTTCTTACTTGTGTAGAGATTAATGCCTTTTTTTATTTTTCAGTTATTTTATAATAATGAAATAAAAAGATCCCCCTAGCTGCCAGGTGGGTTTTGGTGTTTGAAATGCGGGGCAAAGCACTACATCACTGCAAATAGATACAGTTAGTCTGCATGTCTGTAGGCTGTGTGATTGCGGAAAATATAAATGCTGCTAATATATTTCCTTTTTACAAAAGCATATCTAAATAGATGATTGTTTTGATGTTAATCTTTGTAAATTATGTATTACCAATTTTAACATTGGATGTAATTGCATAAAAAGCTTGCATCTCAAATCCTTAAAAGTCTAGTATTAAATGGAAAAAACTTTTCCTAACTACAGAGTGGTGAGCTTGCTATTTTTTCCTCTTTCCTATCCTCCATTTATCTTCCAGGATCTTCTCCATCCTGTTTCCCAAAAGATCTTTTTAAAACCATATCAGCAGGCCCTACCTGGGTGGCTCAGTTGGTTGAAGCATTGTCCTGTACACCAAAAAGGTTGAGGGTTCGATTCCCAGTAAGGGCACATATTTTAGGTTTCGAGTTCAATCCCTGGTCAGGGCGTGTACAGGAGGCAGCTGATCCATGTTTCTCTCTCTCTCTCAGTGTTCTCTCGTGTTCGTTCTCTCTCCTCTCTCTCTCTCTCTCTCTCTCTCTCTCTCTCTCTCTCTCTCATCTGAAACTTTAGAAATCATTGCCCCCCTCCAAAAAAAAATCAAAGTAGTCTTTCATATCTACTGTTTTATAATTTCAAACATTATAAAAATAAAACTTTTGCAGTGGCAATTTGTGTAAACTTGAGTACTCCTAATATAACTAGGAATCCCCAGAGGCTCTCAGAATCTAGTTGGTGAAACATCACCCTAGAAAACATCTGAAATGCAAACAGGTCAAAATTGAGAGGGCAGCTAAACACAAATGCAAATTTAAAGCAAGGAGCAGATGAATATGAATTGGCCAGGAATGGAGTCTAAGAATAAGTCTTCAACACCCTGGCCGGTTTGGCTTGGTGGAGAGAGCGTCAGCCTGCGGACTGAAGGGTCCCAGGTTCATTTCCGGTCAAGGGCACATGCCAGGGTTGCGGGCACGATCCCGGGGGAGAGGGGGCGGTTTTCCTCCCCACTGGGGATGCGCCCGCAATCAAGGTACATGCCCTTGACCGGAATTGAACCTGGGACCCCTCAGTCCGCAGGCTGACGCTCCATCCACTGAACCAAACCGGTTTTGGCAATAAAAATATTTTAAAAAAATAAGCCTTGCCCTAGCTGGTTTGGCTCAGTGGATAGAGCGTCGGCCTGCAGACTGAAGGGTCCCAGGTTCGATTCCGGTCAAGGGCATGTACCTGGGTTGCGGGCACATCCCCAGTGGGGAGCATGCAAGAGGCAGCTGAATCGATGTTTCTCTCTCATCTATGTTTCTGACTCTCTATCCCTCTCCCTTCCTCTCTGTAAAGAATCAATGAAATACATTTTTTTAAAAAAAATAAGCCTTCAAAAATAACAAGTATGAGACACTTGAGGCTATTCAAAGCCTGCTCCCGAGTAGTCACAAAGCTTTGATCTGTTTTTATCTCCCCTCTCCTATTACCTGCCCATTGTCCTCTCCAACCAAGTTCTCCAAAATTAAGGAAAACTTCCAGATATCTTTCTCCTGTATTTCATTTCATAGTTTTCACCTTCCCCCTAACTTTTCTGTTGCCTGGTTATAATCATATCTTTATTCTTCTAACCTTTTAGTGATTTTCCTTGAGGCAATCATTTATAATGATTTCCTACCCCATCCTCAAAGCTCCAGAGCACCTTAACTATTCTCATTTCAGAAGACCAAAACTCATTAACTCCTAACAAAGATATAAATGTCAGGTTATTGTGCTTTCTGAAATTGTATTACTGCAGAATAATAATGTTAAATAGAAAAAAATCTGTCACTTTCTGCAACCTTTTAATCCTTCATCATCTCAGATACAAATCTAATGAGTATAATTTCAAGGGCCATGTCTTCCCCGTTCTCCCATTATTTACTCAGGCTCCTACCTATCAGTCCCACAAAACAAAGCAGTGATGTCTCGGAATAAAGAGGCACTTCTGAGATTCAGGCACAATCAAGGGGCACTTCTGCATTCCTCAGGAAACAGTAAGAACTGAACCTGGGCTTGGAAGGAAGCATCTCCCTTGAGCTTCCTACAAGAGGGCCTCCCACAGCCTATGTCCTCAAACCCCCTGTGACACACACACACACACACACACACACACACACACACACACACACACACACATTCAACTCCCACACTTTATTGGGACAAAAGAGGAAGGAGACATATCCAACGTCACAGGCCCACCCACCAGGGGTATCCAGACTTTAACACCTAGTACAACATGAGTACATAATAAATATTGGCAACATGGGATGGGGGAAGTGGGGGAAGATTCATACACATGAAGGAGACTAGAGACCCTCTAGTCTTGGGAACTGAGGCATATACTGTACTAGCAGAGTACTTACACAGGAAGGTAGATGGGGACTAGATTTCCATTTTGCAGATAGGGAGATATTATTCCCTTATGCAGATGGGGAAGAGGAAAGAAACTTCATGGAGGAAAGTTGCTTTGTATATATTTGGAAGAAGAGCAGATTTCAACTTACAGGTGGGTATGGGAGAGAAGTAGGAAAATTTATTTCACATATTAGTAGAAAGGGATGTGGGAGGAAAGTATTTTACAGACAGGGAAAATGCTTCTGGGAAAATCAGTTCACAGGCCATTCCATTCCAAAGTGACAGGAGAGAGAGACATATGCAGGAAAGGAAAAAGGGCCTAGGCCTAGAGAACAAGAGAGGTATACCCCACAGGTACCAGCCCCTCCATTCCATCCCGCCCACAGCGGAGCCAGTCCTCATCCACAGTGGCGATGACACGCAGCACTTCCCCACGCTGGAAGCTCAGCTGGTCAGGTCCTGCAGCGGTGTGGTCACAGAGAGCACGGACTGCCCTGTGGGGAGCCAGATGCTGGGATGAAGTGAGGTGGGGTACCCAGCTGTCCCAGGTCTCATCTCCCCACTGTGTGGAACATCCCTTTGGTTCAGCTCTGGGAACACTGGGCTCGTGTCTAGCAACATGTTGATTCCCTGTGGGGCCCCAGCCCTCTCCTGAGCTCCAAACCCCCTCTTCAGCAACTTATTTGACATGATTTGCACTTCTCTTGTACTTCAAATTCAACATCTGCAAATTAAATAACTCATCTTAACTCTACACACCAGTCCCTCCTCTTGTGTCTCCTATACTGGTAAATAGCACTACCTTCTACCTAGTTGCTCCCAGCAAAAACCAGGGTCTCTCATTCCTCATATCCAATCACCAAAACTAGCTTGGTGTTTGTATCTCCCACTCTTCCACCTGTCTTTCTCATCAACTCCACTGCCCTCACTCTAGTTTAGCTCTCTATCCTCTCTCAACCACTACATATACTCTAACTGATATCCCTTCATCCTCATGACCTCCCTCCCCAGCTCCATTTCCCACACAGCAGACAGATCCTTCAAAAACAAGCAAGCATATCCCCCAGCTTATGGCCCTTCAGTGGTTCCCCCTACCTCACAGTGAGGTCCAGTCCTACTGAAGCCTGTAGCTTCCTGTCACTGCTGCCAACACCTCCACTCTGGCACAACCCATCATGTGTCCGTAGTACCTCACTGCCCTTGGGCCTCTCCACTTTTGCATCCTATTCCTTCTGACACACCCTACACCATCACTGGGCCTTCCCTGAGTCTGCAACCTTGGGAAGAAGCCCTGTCTATATGGCCCCTTTCCTACAACCTTTTCCATACAGAATTTTTAAAATATGTTTTTATTGTTTTTCTTTTCTTGTTTTAGAGGGAAAGGAATGGAGACAGAGGGGCGGGGGTGGGGAGGGAGAGAGAGAGAGGAGAGAAACCTCAATGAAAGAGCAACATGGATCAAACCTGCAACCCAGGCATGTGCCCTGACCAGGAATCGAACAGTGACCTCTTGGTGCATAGAACAACACTCAACCAACTGTCCCACAGCAGCCGGCTCCATACAGAATTTTAACCGCTTGTTTACTCATTGGTATCTCCACTGGACTACAAGCCCCTTGAAGGCAGGGGCTCCAATATGTTTATCTTTGTTTTCCCTCCCCTAGCATAATGCTTGGCACATAGTAAGTACTTGAAAAGTATTACTGAATGAATGAAAAATCAAGAAACCTAGTTCAATGGATTAAGAAACCAAAGGAAGCCAGACCCTAAAGCAGAAGCAATCTCTGGTGCCAAATTAGAAGACCCCACTGAAGGGGGAAGCACAATCCCTCAGGGTATGCACATGGGCACATCCAAATACATAGTTGTCATTAACTGGGCACCTCCTCTGTGCCAGATGCTCTTATAAAATTATGTTCAGTCTCTCTAACAACCACAATAAAGGTATAAATTATCCTCTTTAAGGAGAAAGAAACCAAGGCTCAGAGAAATGAGTTCACACCAATAATAGCAGAAATGTAATGCAAACTAAGCACTGTCTGACTTTACAGCCCCAGAGCCTTTTAAACTACCTCCCCTCCCCTCTGAAGACAGAAATGCGCGCACACACGTGCACACCAATGCATTCTCCCCAATTCTCCTTACCGATGGGTCTGCACCATGCTGGGTGCTGAGGCCTCAAGCTCCTCCGGTGAACTGGGAGTCTCAGAAGGTGCCACCCTCTTCACCAGAGCCAACACATTCACTGTAGGAGGCAGCCAGCTGGATGGTCTCCTGGAGGAAGGGATATAGGGTCACATTTACCCCACCTCCAGAAAAAAAACAACACCCAGGGCTCTGGAGGGAGAAGAAGGCTGAGCAGCCTGTGCTTCAAAAGAGATCAGGAGCTGGTCACTGCTAAGGGCAGAGAGACAGGGTGATTAGGGAGTGAAAACAGGTCTACAACACAAAAGTCACTGAAGGACCTCCCGGGACCAGTACACTCAGAGAGACCTAGAGGATCACTGGAGAGTATCTGAAGCCAGAGTTCAGCAAATACTTCCTTTTTTCTAAAGGGCTAAATAGTAACTGTTTTTGGCTCTAAGGGCCAAGAGGCAAATGGAGAACATCATATAGGTGCTTATATCACCATTAAAATGTAACTTCTCAAGAATGTAACCATTTTTAGCTCATGGCTGTAGAAAAACAGACTGACAACTTCTGACCTAGAGAATCACTCTAGTTTCATATTTGGGTAACTGGGTGATGTGGGATGGGGTCAGAGGTCATGGAGGGGGACCAGGTGCCCCATTACCTGGACTTTAGAGTTCCACTGTCAGTTTCTGTGAGGGCCCCAGGCACTCCAAACAGTCTTCCCAGCCACACGCCTCTGCCTGGTGCCGTGTCCTCTGTGGGCAACGATCTCTCCTGTGCTTCCTCAGGCACAGTCCCGGGACACCTGGATCCCCACCGACGAAGGGAGAAGCCCTCCGTGCCCCCAGAGGCATAGACCCGGGAGGCCTGGGTCAGCTGCTCCCACCAGCTGCCTGGTTTGGGAGGGCCTGAGGGGGCTGAAGGGCCTGGAGGAGTCTCCTCAGAAGCCCCACGAAGGCTCTGGGCCAGCCGACCCCCCCAGTGCAGCATGGCTTGCACAGTCTGCTGCAAGGCTGGCGGTGAGCCTGGCGGGGCAGGAGTCTGAGGTGGGCCCAGGGGCAGGTGGTGGTGATGCTCAAAGAGCAGGTCCAAGTGGAAGGTGAGCACCGACAATGGCTGCAGCAGGAGCAGCAGCTCTGTGGACAGGGAGGGGCAGCCACCCCGGGCCAAAGAGAAGAATCCAGTGGGCAGGTACAGGAGGGACAGCAGGCCTAGAAAAGAAGCAGGCTAACATTAGTCCCTGCCCTCAGCCTAGTCCCAGAGGGCTCCCTGCATCAGCCCACCCATCAACAAACATCCCCAGGCCTCATTCTATGCCAGGCACTGGGGCAGAGGAGAACATGGTGGGGAACAGGGCTGATACCTCCCTGCCCATGTAAAACCACTGCCTAGAGAGGGAAGCACATAGAGAACAAGTGGTGATAAGAAACTGAGTAACAGAAAGGACAGGGCCATGGGAGCAAAATAGGGGGTGAGGGTTAGCCTAGTCTGAGGGCAAGGTGAAGCCTCAAGTAATATCTAAAGGATGAATGAAAGTTAATGAGGGACAGGAAGTCCTATTCTAGTTGGAGGAAAGAATCAGAAAGGAAGCCTGTCAAGGAACCAGGGAAAACCCCAGACTTAGAGGCAAGAGAAGAAAGCAGAGGCCAATAATCAAGACGGGAGGTTATAGTGAAGATTTGGGTCTTTTCCCCTGTGGGCTAAGGGACTCCTTGGAAAAGTTTTAAGCAGAAGAGTAATAAGATCGCAGAGCAGATTAAGATCATCCCGGCATTAGTGGGAAGCAGCAGAACAGATCCCCTTTCCTCCTTTCCTCCTTCCCTCACAGCCTCGCAGCCCCATCCTCTCCCATTTGAACCTCTGACCTGCATCTTCCTGCAGACTGGAAAACCACAGCTCCAACTGCTTAGTGCTGGGGGAGAAAAGGGAACAGAAGCTCAGGGAGGTGGAGGACTCCAGCGCCCTCTAGGCAGGGGGTGGGAGATGAGATTGGAACAGGAGAGGTTTGCGGCAGGAACCTGGGGAATCCCACCTGAGATCCCCCTGCAGTCCCCAGGCCATGGGAGGGGCACCAGAAAGAATGCCACTCACTTGAGGAGGCCCAGGATGAAGGCGTGGAAGCGGCTTCTGCTGCTGCTCAGCGGGGCTAGACGGCTGACCTGGCTATACAGGGTTCCAAAGGACCGGGTGCTGGAGCCTGAGGACAACCGGAGCTGTCAGCCCAGCCCCTGCCCCAGCCCCTGCCCCAGCCGGGCTTCCCTCCGGTCCCAGCCCCGGCAGAGTCCCACACTTCACCTGGCTTCACCGATGCCTCCACCACGCTCCAGGGGTTGCTCCTGCGCTGCCCAGTGATGAGGTCCTTTCGGAAAGGCTTCAGCCCATCAGCCACCAGGGCATGGAGAGCCGGGCAGAGGGTGGTCAGCACCAGGTGCCCCACATCTGGGCTCAGCCGGCTATCCCCCAACTGGGCCTGGAGGCAGCGCAGTGGGCATGGGTCCAGAGATACCAACAGCGCGCTTCCTGTCCAAAGTTCTGCGCCCCCAGAGCTATATTCACCTCCTCAACCCCCAGACCCTCCCACTGACAACTTCACCTTCTGAACCAAGTTTCGGGCGGCCCCAAAGTGCGTGATGATTTTATCCACGGAGGCGCTGACGGCTATCAAGAGACCTGGGGACGGGGAGGGGAGAGACGCATCAAAGCCCCTGTCTCCCAGGAACACCCGAGGACCTGAGAGACACGGGTTCATGCAATCTGACTGTGAGGGGCAGCGGATTCCAAGGCCAGGGCGGGGGTGTCCTACCTTTCTTCTGCTCCTGCAGCTGGCCGGTCCCACTCTGGGCTTCTGCCATCCACAGTCGCTGGGCCCCGGGGACACCGGCAAAGGACCAGGAACTGCGGACTGCGGGGAGGAAAGAACGCGGAGACACTTACCGAGGGTTATTCGAGGACTCCAGGCTTTGGCACTGGTCACCTCCTACGGGTCCACAGCACCCAGCCCTGAAGTCTTGGGAGAGGGGACACAAAGCTGGGTACAGCACGGGCAGCGGGACCCAGGACCCCGGAGTGAAATGCTGCCCGGATCTCAGCACTCGCAGCCCCTGTGCACCCCAATCCCCCGTTTCCATTCCTTCTTCAGGGCCCAGCTCCCACCTCCGCGATCCCGGAAGTCCAGGCGCAGGGACAGCCGCGTTCACCTCCCGCCCGCCCGCTGGGGCCTCTAGGGCAGGAGATGACAGGGCGAGGGCGGGGGAGGCACCTTCCCCCCACCCCCGGGCCTGCGTCCTGCCCGCGAACACGGAAGAGCACGTGGGGAGCCCGGACCAATTGAAAGACAGACAGACGAGAATGGAAAAGAGAGGGAGGGAGCGGAGATCCAAGGGCTGGGAGGCTACTGTGAAGGCACCAGAAAGGGGAAACCCAGGTCCTACTCCGGCATCGCTGCGGAGGGCGCCCCGCAGCCCAGTGAGGCTGGTGGCTAGGAAGGCGAGACCAGGCCCTCTGCAGCCGGGAGAGCTGGGGAGTTGCACCCTGCACGTTCCCCCAGCAAGGAGGCGGTCGGGCCCGGCCCGCCCTGGCCAGGGGCTCCACAGAGGGGTCACCCCAGGTCCCTATCAACGGACTTGCTGGAGGCCCCTGAACTGAGTTTGAAGCCGCACAGGCCCGCGTCCACAGCGCCCGGCCGGCACCGGAGCGGAGCCAGGCTCCCAGAACCAATGAACTCGCTAGGAATCGGCCAGATGGGCGGGGCGGAGCCAGGTTCCCAGAACCAATGAACTCGCTAGGAATCGGCCAGATGGGCGGGGCGGAGCCAGGTTCCCAGAACCAATGAACTCGCTAGGAATCGGCCAGGACGAAGGGCGGGGCGGAGCCGGGAACCCGGATGCAACCACC